GGTGTAAGATGGCCTCACCCACGGTGGGAGGACCTTCCCTAGCAAGTGGCCCTGAGCTCTGTAAGAAAGGTAGCTGAGCATGAGGCTGGGACTGCGCCTGTCCTGGGGCCACTTTCAGTTCCTGCCAGCAGGTTCCTGCCCTGAGTTCCTAAACTGACTTACTTCAAAGACAGGCTATAATCTGGAAGTGAAAGCTAAAACAAACCCTTTACTCTCCCAAGTTGTTTTTGGCCACAGTATTTATCATGGGCATAGAAAGCAACCTAGAACAAATACTCCTTGTTCTTATATTGTGAAAAATGAGTATCTGCATTCTTCCTGTCCTGCAATTACTTTCCCATGTAATTTATGAGAAAAGCATAATGAGCAAATGATACAGCAGATTTGCCCTCAAGTGGTCCAGAAAGCATTGTTCATACTAGCAAAAGAATTGGAAATAACTCAAATGACCATTAATAATAGAAAAGATTTATTATATGGTAATGAAGTGAGGGGATTACAGATACAAAAAGCTGAACAAAGAAATAAGAAAAAATTTCAACAGGCAACAAAAATGATGTTACTTGTTTAATAAGGTGTTCTAAAAATAAATTAAACTATACACTGATTTAGCTATAGCAGTGTGCTTGGTATTTTATTCCCGTATTAAAGAATAAAGATGATTAACATGAAACTGAAGGTAGTATTTGCCAGAGGTGACGGGCATATAGATGTGTGGAAGCTAGTGTTATTCTAGGTCACAACCAGCGGTGCTCATTATGCTGTTAACAAACAAGATAGTGAGATGCACGTCTCACTAAATTCCACATTCCTGTATTTCATTAAAATGTAAACATTGATGTTAGTGATTTACCTCTAGCTTAAGGTATAAATGTAGTCCATATCTCCTTGCAGAATTTACATTCACATTTTTCTTTAGTTCCCTTCTTTTGGCTATATTCTCTGGGAACTAAATCCAACTATTTCCTAGTCTGCATGAAGTCTCAGTGTTAAAAATTGCCAGTCACTCATCCTGGGGAAAGTAGATTTACCTTCATCTTTGTGTAGATGCACAAACTTGGGCTATGAGGCGGGCAGCTCTGGTTTCCGGGGTGGAGAAGAGTAAGTGAGCTGGTGTCCATTCCACTGACCACCAGCACGGAAATGTTACTTGCAGATCTCGTCTGGGGTCTCTTGTGAGGCTGAGTGTCAGGTTCAGGAGAGCTTTGTAGGGACTAGGGGAGTATTTATATGGGGTCCAGCCAGGTATCGCTTTTGGATTGTGATATTGACTTTGCATCATTCGTCCATTTTATGCCCTGTCAAGACCTATCCACTCAACAAAGGTCTAGCGTTTTTCTAGCAGCTGAGATAGAATGACACACAACAGGGCTTTGTTTTTGGAGGATACAGGGTCCCTCAGTAAATGCTCAAAATTGCAGAGAGCACCTAATCCTATGTACACCTTGTTTTCCCCTGCATACAACCCCTGTAATAAACTTTAACATAAATTAGATGCAGCAAAAGATCAACAATAACCTATTATAAAACAGAACAATTATAACAAAATGGATATAACATATTTTGCTACATTTCATACACTACATTACAAGCACACTTTGTGATGATGTGAGGTGAGACATGCTGAGACGAAGGGAGACAGATAACATGGGCACTGCAGTTCAGCACTGGGATACCATACCATGGTCATGAGGGTTACCTGAACAAAAGCACCAGGACACTGCAGCGGTCGGTAGACTTGATAGCTGACATGCTTACTGAGGGACTAGCAGATGCTACTTCTCTTCTGTCTGTGTAACTAAGAGAGATGATGATAATGATTATGCAGATGTTGACAATAGAAATAATAATGATGATTTTTAGTGCTGGAGATTAAGTGTTGGGCCCCCTGTACACTAGCAGGGTCTCTATCACTGAGATATATCCTGGCCTCTAAGAATATACGCGTAATTCTTTACAGAGCCAAGAAAGATTTTGGCAACTCTTGAGTAGTAATGTCTTCAGCTGATCATTAAAAATTAATTCCTAATTAAAAAATCTTTTAGACTGATATTTGTTCTTATAGTGTCTTTTTTAAATATAAATTGTCTAATTATATTGTAATATGATTGAGTTGCTCTGAATTACACAATGGATGTTTTTTTGTTGTTGTTCACTTTCTTCCTTATAAAAAGCTATCAAGAAAGTCAAATCAAAATCATTTATATATTTTGTAGAAACCAAGCAAAATGAAAATGCAGAGTTCCTTGCTAAAAGCAGGAACCTGGTGCCTTGTAACGACCAGTGTTATGTTCCTCCTACGCCTGAGATGTATTTCTTCCCCAAGTTACTCCAGCAGTGGAAAACGAACGTTCGAGACCACTAATATATGTCACTCTGAGTAGATGTGCACAGGTTTAACACAGGGTCTGAGAGGGTCTGAGCACAGCTGTGGGAGTTACCTAAAAGTACGATAACTCTGTCTGACTCCTCTGGTGTTGGGAGCACTGAGCTGCATTCCTAGCCAAAGACAGGAAAACAGTACATGAGAAAACCCCTGTGAGTATAAATATGGTTCAAAACATAGACTGTGACTATTCATTCTGGTCATTTTAAAGTGACAGCGAACACCTATCTGTCTTTTCCCTTGAATCACCCGTTCCATCTATAGCTAGCTGGGATTGAGAGCCACGGATAACTCAAGGCGCTCAGTGTAACTACTGTAGCCTTTATGTTGTTGTCTTAGATTATTCATAGTGCTGTGGGTGATGAAAACTTAGGGAGCACAGATTCCTAGACGGATGCGGGGGGAGGCGAGGGTCACTTAAGCCCTCCCTGCACCACATGCAATGCCCTTGAGAGGGACTGTTAAATTATAAGGCAGCACAGTTAACATAGCTCATGGCCAAGAGTTCAGCATCAGCATTCACCGTCGGCAGAGAAGAGACAAAGGTTCTCCCACAAAGCAGCTACAATGGCATCTTTGGAAGCACAGCAGGTATGTGGAGAAGGGATGTGAAGGGAAAGTCTGTGTTTTTCTCTGAGTGTCAAGTGAAAGGACTCTGCAGAAACATAGTAACATTGTTCCGCTATGTTCTTCAGTTTTCCATCTGTTCACGTGCAGGGAGAGTATGTAGACCCTAGATTGTTGAAGAGTCAGGGCTTACTCTAAACCTGCAGTGAAAGGCACTTCAGTCTAAGCATGAAAACAAAACGACTGACTGCCTTTCCACAGTGGATAGTCTCCTGAGAAGACTATTTAGAACCTTGGAAAAAGTGGTAATCTTTCATAGGACCAACTGGTTTGTTCAGTACAGGTTCTCAAGTGTTCCTAAGTGAAGTGGAGGCAGCTCAGGAGCAGAATGTGTGCTCAACTGTAAATAAAGCACTCGGTTGAATGTGCACTTCAGAAAAGAAAGACAGGGGGAAAAAAAGGCATAGGAAATCCAAAGGGAATTTGATTGGGTTATTTAAAAATCACTTCACTTAGAAAGTAAAGAGTTCTCTGGGTGGGGTGTCTTTCTGTCTGTTATCATCATGTATCTATCTTATCTAATATCTCTATCCCTTCCCATTTTTAAAATTATTGTACTAAGGAGTATAGTAAAAACACCTATTTTTAGACACTACTATATTCTTTAGAAATTTAATTTTATTAGTACCTAAAAATAAGTGTAGTTTGAGAACTGATTATATACACTTTAGAAATGTCTGGGAAAAGGATTTTAGTGAAACTATCCCAAGGCTCGGGGATGATCATGGAAGAGGAAAAGGCAGAAAGATTTTAAGAGTCAGAGGTGACTCTTAACTGTAGTGAGTTTTCCAGGCATGACAGGGATGTTCCATGCATGAATTCAAACTTCTTGTATGCAGAAGATCAAGTCAGACAAAACCTCAGGTTGGATGGAGGGAGGCCATAAAGTCCCAGCACCAACCTCGGAAATACGGGCAAGCGATGGCTGCTGGGGAGGTAGTTTTCTTTATGGATGTGGTCCCTGAGAAACTTCCCACCCTCTGGCGGATGCCCCCCACCCATGCACACACTGGCAGCACTATGTGGACTCAGTGGGTTTTTAAAAAAAGGCACATAAACCTTAAAGAAAGAAGTGGTAGTGAGACAATGAGGGAGGAGCTGGATGTGAAGGGATGGGGGTGGATTAGATCAAAACACGTTATATGCGTGTAAGAAATTCTCAAACAAGTGGACAAAAATCTCTCTTTTGGGCTGGGCCTTGTGGTACTCACTTATAATCCCAACCCACCAGAAGTGGAAGCAGGAGGAACAAGAGTTCAAGGCCATCCTATATGATCATCAGATATGAAGTCTTATCCCCCCAAAAAAAAAAAAAAAAAAAAAACCAAACCAACTAACCACCACTACCAACTTTTGGGAATAGATTAGTTTTCCTGTAAATAGCATTTAAGGTATTAGCTGGCAGTGACCTCAATGTAATTTGGTGCCACTCCTGTCTTAAGCTTTTAAACACCCAGGTCTTAAGTATCAATGGTTCTTTCATGCACTTTAAACCACTGTGAAAGTGCATGCTGTCACACACTACATTTCTTCTGTGCAGGTGGACCTGCAGTCCCAGAGCAGGAAGGAAAAGAGGAATTAAACTGTCTTGAATACATTCCTTGGTATCAATTGCTCTCTTTCCTACATGTGCTTTAGTTGTTTCTATTAAAAATAGTCACCACAAAGCCTAATGCTTGGAGTTCCATCCCCAGGAACCACACAGTGGAAGGAGAGGACCAACTCTTGAAAGTTGTCCACTGACCCGCACCCCTTGACTTACTTACCTGTTATTCTGAATAGCTGTTCTGTGATGCTTGCCAATATTTAAGATTTGCTGAGGAGAATGGCTCTAACAGATAGTAAGGATACTTCACTAATCCTTCTTCTTAAAAAAAATTTAGTAAGAAAAAAATCGAAGCATAGAGTACATAAGAGAACATATGAATGAAACTATTTTCACACAATAACCTAGACCCCCCCCCCCAAAAAAAAATCAAGTCTGAAGATGGATTCCAGATTCATGTGAGGACGAAGTGTTTGCATTTTCAAGCAGTTGTCTGTTCTTTCTATACATACAAGGAAGCTCAGGTAGAGAGAAGTCAGTAATACATCTATTTAATTGTCTCTCCTCCTGCTTCTTTTTTTTTTCTATCTCCTATGCTTTTCATCTTTTGCCCCTGCTTCTTCTACTTCTGAATTACAGATCCTGTAATAACAAAGTAAGTGGATTAAGTGTGGGTGGTAAAACTCGAGGCACTGAAAGCTTAAAGTAAATAATTTTTAATATATGCTATTAAAATTCTGTAAATCCTAAAGTTAATGAGAAAGACATATCATGTATATTTACATATGTCAGTTAATTATCTTCTTTAAGTCTTTCATAATTTTCTTTGAATTTGTCTGTGAAAGCAGAAATAAAATGTAGAGTGTTTTCCCATTCTCTCATAAAATCCCACCTGTTCTTGCTTTTATGTAGGAAATCTTTGACTGTTCAGAATTTGGAAATGGATCGTGCCCAGAAAATGAAAGGTCTCTTGGGGTCCGAGTCGCCATGTATTCATTTATGGTAGGAGCCATATTTATCACAATCTTTGGGAATCTGGCCATGATCATTTCCATTTCCTACTTCAAGCAGCTTCAGACACCAACCAACCTCCTCATTCTCTCTATGGCTGTCACTGACTTCCTGCTGGGGTTCACCATCATGCCTTATAGCATGGTCCGGTCGGTGGAGAACTGCTGGTATTTTGGGTTTACATTTTGCAAGATCCATTATAGCTTTGACCTGATGCTCAGCATCACGTCCATCTTCCATCTATGCTTAGTGGCTGTCGATAGATTTTATGCCATCTGTCACCCTTTGCGTTACTGCACCAAAATGACAATTCCAGTTGTCAAGCGGCTGCTGCTTCTCTGCTGGTCTGTCCCTGGAGCGTTCGCCTTTGGGGTCGTCTTCTCTGAGGCTTATGCTGATGGAATTGAAGGCTATGACCTTTTGGTTGTGTGTTCCAGTTCCTGCCCAGTCACATTCAACAAGCTGTGGGGGACCACCTTGTTTGTGGCAGGTTTTTTTACTCCTAGCACTGTGATGGTGGGTATTTATGGCAAAATTTTTGCAGTATCCAAAAAGCATGCTCATGCAATTGGTAGCTTGCCAGAAAATCAAAATAATCAAATGAGGAAAGACAAAAAGGCAGCCAAAACCTTAGGAATAGTGATGGGGGTTTTCTTATTGTGTTGGTTTCCCTGTTTCTTCACCATTCTCTTAGATCCCTTTCTGAATTTCTCTACGCCTGTAATTCTGTTTGATGCCTTAACATGGTTTGGTTATTTTAATTCCACATGTAATCCCTTAATTTATGGTTTCTTCTACCCCTGGTTTCGCAGAGCACTGAAGTACATATTGTTGGGTAAAATTTTCAGCTCACATTTCCATAATACTAACCTGTTTATTCAAAAAGACACAGAATAGACTTGGTCTTTGCTAGTGCATCAAAGGCTGGCACTTCAAGGAAAGAGGACCAGCAAGAAAGGGTCAAGGACATGGCCAGGGCACAGAGGGAGGAGAATGAATGACAAAGTGAAATATATGTGGGTGTGAACATATATATATATATATATATATATATATATATATATATATATGACAATGTACAATGTGTAACAAAAACTGAATAACAAAGGCATAACAAATGAAATATATGTAAGAAAATGAGGACTCTGTATAATGAAACCCATTTATGGTAATTTAAAAATGAATAATAAAATATAATGCTGAGTACCAGAACACAGAGAAGTACAGCAATTACTTCTAATTCTTTGTTAGCACAGTGGGGTGACTATTGGTCAAAACATGTATGACAAAGTTTGAAATGATCTGAAAAGAATTAAATTAACCGTTCTTGAAATGGTCCATGGGTAAAGTGATGGGGATGACTCTCACTCTGATTTGATTGTACTACACTGTGTGCACATCCTGAATTAGTATTCTAATTCAGGAGATTGGCAAATTGCAAAAAAGAAAAAGAGAAAAAAATGAAGTTGCCTAAAATGTGTGTGTGCGTGAAGAGTGTGAGTGTTTTACATGTTGGGCTTAATTACAGTCTCCTGCAAATGCACGGAGCATGAACAACCTACTAGTTTCTACAGCACTGGAAAAAAATGGTTTCCACCTCCATCAGTAGCCACCAGCTGTCTATATCTCTTTAGTGATCATTTCTTAAGATGAAATAATCCGAAATATTCTCCTCCTCCATGTCTTATCCCCACCCCACTGCCAAATACTTTAGCAAAACTGGTACAAATCAGTGAAGAAAAAGCAAATGCTTCCTTCCCACATCAATATTGCCTCATTCAGAGTGAACACAAAAACCTTTTACAGTTAAGACAATTATTCTTGCCTTTAATATTGGCCAATATTTAGTTTAACTTCGCTTGTCTGTGCATTTTATGTCCATGTTAGTATATGGCAATTTTGGTGCCTTCTTTTTCTAGAATGAAATCCAAATAATCAAGAAGTCAGATTTGAAATTATTTGAAAAAAAAAAAAAAGAAATTGAAATTTCCCAGGACACAGAAATACACAGGATATTTTAATATCCTCAAGGGAAGAAAGTTTAAAGGTGATTCCACCAGGGATCTGCAGCTAGAACTTCTCTCTGCATCCTGCGTCTGTCTTCCTCAGTGCAGCCCTCTTGAGAGCAGAGACAAATCTACAAATGCAGTGGGTTGATTCTCTGCACTGAACTTTCCAGAACTTCTTGCATCACGCCCACCAAGCTACCTGAAGAAACTCAGTGAGGAGAAACTAGCATTCTAAGAACCAAAAGGTACTGGATCATGAAAAGAATTGGAAACATAATGACCATTTTTCATTGGGGATTAGGATGTGTTACATGTGTGTTATAACAAAAAAGGAAGAGTTATGTTTCCCTAACTAGAAAAATAATTATTACAGTGTTCCAGAGAAAGGCTTTTAAACATTTTCATCAAAAGTTTGTTTGGCAGGATTTATAAGTTAATTATGTGGCATATAAGATGTTTTTACTAAGTACAAATTTATATGAGGCATGATCTAATAATTGTAAGGTACTTCAGTAATGCTAAGATACATTTTCTCTTTTACTCTTTTATTATGTAAATCCATTCCAAATGCGGTATGTTATTTTAGCAATCTCCCTCGCAAGCAGCATTTACCTAATATTTTCTGTTGTCCTTTGTTGTCTGAACTGCTCCCTCATCCCAAGCATGCAGAATGCTCACGCCGATGCCAGGTCTCTTTGATCTAAGAGAGTTCTTGCCCGGTTGTTACAGATAGCATGAAAACATTGTGAAGATGTGTCTTTGGGGATGGCCTGAGTTTTCACTGCCAGCCCATTTCCAGGAAATGTAAACAGGGCTGGCCTATACATTAACTTAGGGTGGGCTGAGACATACACACTTTTGCTGCCCAGATAAAGCAGCAATACATTGCAGACAGAAAGGGATGAAGGAGGTCACTGGACAAGGGGCTGGGAACCCTGGAGTTTAATACTGGTCCCACTATGTAGTTGCACAGTTGGACTTGGCCACTTCAAGTTCTGAGGCATTTCATAGACACGGAACATCTGTGACCATGCAATGAAACAAGCCTGTGTCTGGCACATTGGGTGTGATGGCTTATGTCTATAATCCCAGTGTCTGGGAGGCTGAGGAAGAAGGGTTGCTATGGGGTCTGGTCCAGCCCTGGTTACAGACAGAGGCCCTGTCTCAAAAAGCAAAATAGAACAATATAAAAGAAAAACAATTTGAGACAAGTAATTTTCAAATTTTCAGATATCCAAAATTGTTACTGTTATCTGAGTTTTGCTTGTATCTGGGGATGGGGGAAGGCAGGAGGAAAGGGCTTATTTATTATTTTCTAAACAGTGCTTTCCAGCTTTCCTATGTTCTTAATAATTCCAAGAAAGATTAGAGAATGCCATGAGGCAGAGTGCTTCACTAACCAGGTTTCCAAAATGTGTTGGAGCTAACGTCTTACTATTTAACTTAAGTGGCTCTTGAGCTATCGGTGGCTCTGTGTTGAGTCATCAGGGTTAGCAGATGAATGGACTATCATACTTCTCAAGAAATGTACGTGAAGACAGGCATAGTGCTAGAAGGAAAAGGATATTAAATTAGACTATTAAATTAGATATTAAATATTGAATTAGACTCACCACCCGCTAATTTCTTTGGTTACATCAATAATCTTATAAGATTAATTCCAACTGGGAGATTAAAACAAACAGAAAACTTCCAACCCATGCATGCCTTTAATTCCACAGCTTGAGAGGCAGAGGTAGGAAGACCTCTGAGTTCAAGGCCAAGCTGGTCTACGTAGAAAGGTTCAGGAGAGTCAGGGCTACACAGAGAAACCTGCCTTGAAAACGGTTAAATAAATACATAGACTTCTGGAAGATAATACTGTTTGTGCTGAGTCCTAAACATTGCAGCAGAATGGCCTGGTTGCTGGACAGAAGAGAGCTGCTCAGGCATGAAGCAGATGTTTTCAGGACAGCATGGAGACCACCATTAAAGGTGCAGTGTGGGGATTGGAGGGAGGAGAGCCTACACCAGAGATTTCATGGAAATGGACGTTGAATATACACTTGACAGACCCACAGGGCCATCGACTGACCTGCCTGCCAGTCAGGATGTGTTTCCCACACCCTCCCCCTCATCCACCTAAGAAGGCAAATGCTGACCTTCAGAAGGACGCCATTCAATAGACTCCTTGCTCCCCGTCTCTTACGCGTTGTAGTTAGTTTTAGTAGAACTGAAAATGCTTAGCCTGCTCTTATCTGCTTTTCAAAAGAGAGCACTAAAAAATCTTGTCCTTATCCATTGTCAGTGTACAAGAATTATTTAAGAACTGAGAGTTGCCACTGCCTTTTATTTTTGTTATCAGTGTAAACCGCCACACATAGTTACAACGTAAATTTGTAGGATAAATGTTTCCCTTTTCTCCACCTTGGTTTCCAGGGTGACACTTGAATTAGTCTTCCCTACATGGGCTCTGCAATGATTTCCAAGTAACCTTTCCTACTGCAGCCTTAAATATTCACAACAGAGAACTAGCCAGAAAATATCTAGTCACAAATCCTAGCACGTCCTTATCTTTTCTAGTACATTTCATGTCATTTATACTTGTAACAAATTCCTAGTCTATTTTATGAAATTACTCATGAAGTTATAATGTCACTACGTTTTTTTTTTTATTAATTTATTCATTTTACATTCTGATAATATCTCCCTCCTCCCTTACCAACTGACCCCAGACCATGAAGTCTCTTTAGGCTGCATATTTTTCCTCTGTGGCCTGTTAAGGCAGCCTTGTCTGAGAGAACTGATTGAAGAACAGGCAACAGAATTCATGTCAGAGATAGTCCCTGCTCCCCTTGTAACAGAGTTCATGTCAGAGACAGTCCCTGCTCCACTTACTAGGGTCCCACTTGGACACTGAGCTGCCAATCAGATACATCTGAGCAGGGGCCCTGAGTCCTCTCCATGCAAGGTCCTTTGGTGGTGAATCAGTCTCTTCAGATCCCTATGGGCTCAGATTTGTTGGCTCTGTCAGTCTTCTTGTAAGGCTCCTGTCCTCTCTGGGTCCTTCTCTTGGTAGGAAGTGAATCCTTATCTGACACCTGTTGTTTTATCACAGCATGGTTATCAGAAATCAATAAGAATCTGCTTTTTAGACAAAATTGTCTTTTAGACTGAGAATGATTTGGAGTCTTTAAAAACATAATTTACATCCAAGAATTTGTGCTTAAATATTCTTTCTTACTTGTCTGTATATTTGTTTCTGAAGCAGAGTCTCAGTTACCCTTTGGAACTCACCTTGTGGCTCAGACAGGCCTAAGAGTCTGGCAGTCTTCTTGTCTTAGTCTCCTGGGTGTGGGAGTAAGCCACCACATTATGCTTTGAGGTGATTTTTTTTTTTTAGTGGATTATGTATAAGTCAATATTATTTTCTGAGCGGTGGAACTAGAAATAAACAGAATCGAAATCAGAGTAAGTTCAAGGTTAAAAGAATGGTGGTGGCTGTGTTAGTAGCATGTACAAATATTTATATATCGTGATAGAATTTTGGATCACGGTTTTTATTTCAAGCACAGCTTATGTTATTTTCGCCTTTAAGACAAAGGAAATTGGAGAACGAGGCTAACGTCAGTGTGAAGTCACTGTGTCTTCTACAATAATGAAGATGTGCTGTAAGTTTTCAATAGCTTTCAATCATGTAATAACATCATAACTTTTGGCAAATGTATGTATCTACAGACATGTCAGCTTTTTCAGCTCCAAACCAAAACTAGGGAAATAAAATACTCCAGTGATAAACTATTAGAAATGATTACTCATGAACAGTTTTCTTTAGCACCATGCTATTTCTGGTGCCTAAAATAGCTCTAGAATTTTTGCACATGAAGAATTCAAATTATGGAGCAAACA